ATATACTGAGGTGCAAAAAAAACCACACGAATTTTTATTACAACACAAGGATTGACAAAATGAAACACATAGGTTTCAAGTTATTTGTTGTGTTTAATTAGCTGAAACTTTGAACACTTCTTCAGTGACATAGCTGACATGAACTGAGGGTCCAGCACAGTCATCTGAGCTCACTTTGACCTTGACCTTGGGGAGGTAACACGTATGGCCTCCACGTGCAGCGATTACAGCGAAGCATCTTCTGTTCTTTGAGTTAATCAAACGGTTGATCTGGCCATTTTGGACGCCACCGAAGATCTGGATGATGGCTGCTGTCAACTGGGCTGCTGTTCGAGGCCGTGGCTGCATCTGGTTAAGCTGCCTTTGAATCACGTCCCACAAATGTTCAATGGGGTTCAAGTCAGGTGAGCGAGGTGGGTGTGCCAATAAATTGACCTTGTTCTGCGCCAAGAAGTTCTAGGTAGCACGTGCGGTATGTGGTCGTGCGTTGTCTTGTTGATACAGGAAGTTAGGATGCCTCTGTAGAAAGGGCACCACATGAGGTACCAAGACTTGTGCTATGTAACGCTAAGCCGTGGCGCCGTTTCCACGTCCTGGACCAATGTTCTGGAAGATGACAGGTCCCACTCTGTGATTCAACGACACGGTTTCCCATATCATCACGCTCTCGCCTCCCCAAGGGTCACGCTCCAGAATGTTGTTGTCGTCATAGCCAGTCGTGTCTCTACGCCACACATGGACACAGCCATTCGCTGGATCGACGCAGAACCTGCTTTCATCACTGAAGAGGACTCTCATCTACTGTGCGTTCCGCCAGTTGACATGCGCCTGCGCCGACTGTAGCCATTGCTGTGGATGCCTTGAAGTTGGTGTTCGGACAGCACCCTGGTAAGGACAACTGCAGGGAAGACCAGAAGTCACTAACCTCCGTGACACAGTCCAGCGGTTAAGTTGGCTTCCAGTCGTTCCCATGGTTGTTCTGGCAGTCTCTACAGCTGGCAGAAACAGATCGCAGCGGTGCAGACGAACGATGACACGATCATGGGCCGGAGTTGTAATCCTTGGTCTTCGCTTCTTGGTCGATCTGCCGTGGTCGCCGTCGCTTGTAATCGGTTCCGAAGGTGATGAATGGTGCTAGGGTGGACACCAAAAACCTGGGACACCTGTTCCACTGACTCACCGGCCGCCAGTCGTCCGACAGCTCTTTCTCTATTTTCCCTTGATAACCTTGGCATGTCTGTAGCTCGTCTATTTCGATACGAATGCAACATTTCGAGGAGCGGATTTTATAGGCATACGCACAGGACTGAATGAGCATAAACTCACCACTGACAAGTTGCAAGTGCGTCCGAGTGGTGATTTATAACTCGCGAGTTGCGTTTTGCTAACGCAGCCAATGACATCTTTG